AGGTGTTTATTAACAGTTGTCTACGCAAAATATTTCGGATCGCCTTAGGTTTTTGCAATGATTACGGCTTACAAATCATTGGAATCATTATTACCTACTCAAAATGTTCCTCGCGATAATAAACTTCCATCAACAGAATGTTCTTATACTCCATACTTTCGGAATTGAAATAGCTAGGCTAATGAAAGAATAAGCAACTTAACTGTACACCAAAAAGTACACGAGGCAACCAAAGTTTATTCCCAGCAAACATCAAGTATTTTTCACATATATAACGCAACATATTCGCTGAGGGCTTTATTATTCACATTACATAATACAACGAATCCGTCCTATTGGACGGATAGCTGCAGATAGTAGAGGACATACATTTCCAAACTTTAAAGTCAAATGGGTTTAGCAGACGAGTTGTGAATGCTTGTTAGTTCCAGAAATTGGTTTTCCTGATATTCTAAAATTTTATTACATTCCTATGTGAACTATATTCCAACTTCTGGACAGACGATACATTTCGAAGATTAGTACACATTCATGTATTCACTCACAGCTTGAACGGTTATCATCTAGGTGCTTCAGAAACCTTTTAGTATTCGGTAAACCATTTAGTGTTAATACTGGTGAAATCAGTTAAGAAAAATTATTCAGATTCTGTATTCCGTCCATCGTCGTCATGTCTCAAATGAAGTCAGCAGTAGGCCACAAAAATGCATTGAATATGAGAGAAACGAACATCTTTTAACAAACCAAATTGTTAGCATACAGTTCACAGCCTCACTCAACGGTATACTTTAAAATAACAAATGTTTTGTAAATCACTCGTCCTTATAATTGTTATTAGAGAAGTCTTTAGGATGCATAAACGTGAGAAGACAATATGAAGTGGCAACTATAGTTTATTACTGTAGAGAGCAGATTACAGAGCCGCAAGCACGCGAACCAATACGAACAGACATACAAATAAGAAGGAACACCAACGTGAAAATGAATTAACATGATTTGGGAAGTACAATTACACGGGAAAGAGAATGAGTCGTCAAACAGTTTAAGCAACCGAGATTTAAAACTTTATAGGAAATACATGTAGGTTGAAAAACGTGACCACACGCCCATAGAAGCATAGAGATATAAGGGATTTTTACCGACAAAAATGAGACTGTTAAATAAAATGCTTAAAGGGTTTGCTTAATTTTAACCTGTACAAACAGAAATGCGAGTATGTATGCGGATCAATGAATTGATTTAAGAAGCACATATATATAAGGAAACGAATGAGTCATCCAGAGATTTCGGCTTTTACATATGATCAGGCATATATGCTAATGAAAACATGATTATGGTTATACAAATACATAAACTAATTGTTACAGACTAAATGACACTGACGGTTAAATAAATTAGTAGAAATGCTTAACAAAAATATACCTATACAGATTAGGTTAGATGTTTAGGTGTCTGACTGGACAACATGAATAAAACAGGTGGGTGGGCCACTCTGGAACCAATATATCAATGTAAAAGTCTCATGAATAATTATTTACGAGCCTAAAGCACTTAGATTGAAGCTCGTATCAGTTGAGCCTATAGAGCATCTTACTGTTGAAGTTTTGGTTAATTAAAGAATATCTCTGACAAGTCAACGGTCTGTGAAACGCTAATTGATTGCTATCACGGAAATATGAAGTGTTTTCCAAATCTATGCCTAGCACGGTAAAAATATCCATGCTACAGCCGAATATCAACCCTTTGCTTCAAATGACAGTAACATAGACGAATAAATAAAGACATTGACCCAGGAAAACACATCACAATGCACATATATTTGACGAACCATTGTAGGTGCAAAATGCATGCCATTTCAGACCAATGTAATTAGTCTATTTAAGAAAACCTAGTATACGATAGATGTCACAAAAACTATGAATAGGCATCTAGCGCTACAGAAAACACATACGAATCTCAATGACAAGTGTGACGAAACATATTTTTATTAAAGACAAATGTATTTGAGTGCTTAACTTTTAAATGGCTAGTTAACGGAAGAGCTGCACTATAGAGTCTGTTGGTACTTGATCCATTTTGCATGTTCGATCATTCTCTTTTAGTTAGTAGTGTGTCCAGTAAAACTAATGATGTTGAAATGTAAAAAGCTTTTAAAAAATTACCCCTACCAATACATTATTGCAACGTAGACTATAAAATCAAGAACGGAAGAGTACGCAGTCATCATCAATATGCGTCTAACAGGATAATAAAAAGATACGGCAAGATATATTGTAACAGTTCAATGTTATAATAAAATTCTAGAAAATATTTTCGGAGCAACCAGAGAAGCGGTTAAAATAAAATGAATGCAAAATACGTACCGAAGGAGAATGGGATATTATCTGAACATCTATGGAAACAGTGGTGATAACTACTACTCAGCTCGCCTAGCTCTAAATACCATAAGGGTCGGGGGTAATCTGAACGTAAGCTAATAAAGTCTTCCCAATGATCATGAGCAGTGGTGGGTAGAATAGTTAAAAATTATAGAAAAGGCAGCAGCGATAAGCAATAGTAGACAACTATTCAAGCTTATCAAGGAAACAAGTATTACACATTCAACCGTTAGTGAGACTATCCCACAAAAAAGGATCATTTTCCACTCCCGATTCAAGAGACCCGGATGATGGGCAGAACACTTAAGGGAACAGTCCAACTGACCCTCAGTCATACTTCAATTAATCACTATCTCCAAGTCACTTGAATAACAAGTATTCCAGTTCTCAGTGAGGCTGGAAATCCTATAAGCAATCATGTATGACCTGTCACCAAACAGTCAAACACAGGTATGCACAACGAAAGCTTTACGAATATGGTACCACGGGTATAAAACGGATCACACACAAGTATAAACGTTCGTATATAATGTATAAAATTCTATAATATTAAACAAAAAGAAATAAGCTTTATGAAGTAAGATATAGCATGTACTTTACCGATTACAATAGGATTTAGAAAATCTCAGAATCATTTCAACACAGTACAACTAGTGATCTACAACTTGCAATTTTCTATACGATAAACCATCACTTACTTCAGATATTGGATTTTTATTAACGTTTTAGAAAACAGGGCATAGTAATCCAAAAGTGATTTAGTTTTGATCAAATTTTAATTAATTACAAGTCCAACAGTAAAAATCAGCAAAATTAATAATTTTTTATCTGGATACAATATACAAATATATACAAAGAGCAAAAATCGATAAAAGGCAGCTAGTGGTTGAAATGATTGTTCAAATATTATGATTATCGTTTGGGTTTGTGTTTTGGATTTCTAGACCCTGATTCACGTTTAGAGTGTTTAACTTTCGGGTGAGAGGTTACAGAACCACGTGAGCTGCCTTTTGTAAGATGAGGAACAGAATCTTTACTTGACAATTTTATAAGTGTATTTGGTGGTAATGGTTTTTGTGAACACTTCGGACAAAACCATTGGGGAACTTCAGGAGCCTTGGAAAGCCCTAAACATGTGCTTTAAGAGAAAAACGGAAAAAACAGTAAATAAAAATGATGACTTTAAAGGTTCGAATGAAAATGAGAAAAACAGTTGACCAAATTTAGTACGTTAAAAGTACTCTTTTTCACAAATAAAAGGCATGTCAATGAAAAAAATCTAATTATTTGTTAGTTATTTGTAAGACCCAAATATTCTGGAATATTATGATACATAGCCTATATTCCATATATTACAGGTAGAAGACTTAGTAGTGTTTTGAATGCTGGTATCATAGCAGCACCTAATTTTGCATAATTTTAAACAATCCAATCTGACTGGAAAGTTGCACACACCTAGTATCCTTTGGTGGGGCCCTTTTACTTAAAATCTTTTCAGAAACTTAATTTGGTTGAGCTATTTGACTTTGTCCAACTAGGTAGGCGCAGTGGACGAGTCACGATGAGATTCAGTGTTTTGTCTGGCAACCCTATCACTTAATATGACTTACAGAGTTTTCATGATATGATGACTCATGGAACTAACTTAAATTATAAGATTTTTCCGCGCGTTAGTGAGCTTGTCGGTTATTGAAAAATCGCAAACACAGAAACGTTGCGAAATAACCCTCATTGTTTAGCAAAGCCATGAGCAAATTTAAACTGTATTCATGATGCCATGTTAGTGGAGCAGAGCAGATTATCGTCTGTCCTTTCCATCAAGTTGAATACTAGTTGTAAAACTAGAATTGTTTGAAGATAAAAAAACTGCTTATTAATGAAAGGTAGTTCAGTTGAAAATAAAGCGAGAACGCAGTCAAATCTAGGCAAGTAGGTAAAAGAGCACGAGTTCAGTCTATATCGATCATGTCAGTAAATAATTTCCATGTAATCAATCAGATTATCGAGGTTAAATAGCGAGAGAGACAATGTAGAATATACGTAATCACCGGTTTGTTCTAGAAAATTTGTTCACGTTCTGAGTATATCTCCATGATATGACCCATATTATCTGCAGTAATCTCAGACTAAAGGAGTTAATATGAGTAACAAGTGGATTTACACAAATTTATACATATTTCACCTCTTCTCAAGCAAACCTAAAGATTCCCACACAGAAATACCATCAGTGAGCTATTCTAACCGTTGTTCTGGAAGCTTATAATATAGAAACTGTATCACTCTGAAATTAAAGGTCGAATCATATTCTCTGATGGACGAATTTAACAAATAAACATTGGTAGTCACAAAAGGAAACTGTGAAATATCTAAAAACTAACTATTGAATTTCCTGAGTTTTTAGGAACTCCTTCGACAGAAAACTGTAAACGTGTGAACGCTGTATAAATAATGGTACGGTAGCCCTGTTACTCATTATAACCAAAAGAGTGGAAATCTTCACTATTCAATGACAGATAATCATTATGACCATATAATTTAACTTACCTATGATACCAATCTTGACAATTATCACAGCCAATCATCAAATTGCCATCATCTTCCAGTAAACAAATAGGACATAACCATATTTGCTCACCATCATTATTCTACGATTAATTACGCAAAACAATAAAAATGAATATAGATGCATAGGATAATTCACTGCAAACAAACACCACCTTTATAAAGATTCGCTTAGAAGGATATTACAAAAATTGCTGTCAAGCTTTAGAAAATGACAGAATGGTACCCAGTAGTAAATTTGTCTCAATTCCTACCACAAACTGCGGTTATTGATTTCGGAAATTCTTACTACTAAAATTATGGGTTCATGATATCTAACTGGCACTAATTCAAAGAGCACAACAAATGTCATTGATATAAGTCAAGTATACGCAACTCAGGAATAAATTACAGGTCACTGTAACAAGTCTTGAGGAAAAACTGTTAAATAAGATTTGTATATACTACTGAGTTACAAATAGTAGGTTTATTGGTTGCTAGGTTAGTACTCAAATAAGTGAGTAACAAATAGACAAAAACAATATAGGAAACTATGATCTATGGTGAGAAAATATATTCTCCTAACTAGCAGACACTGTATTTCAGGATCCATCAATATATATATATATATATATATTACATGGTTATTTAGTCAAGTTAACGAGGTGATTAGTGCGCTATGGATACTTCACGGATGCCATACTAAGAATTAAAAGCATTTAACTTGACCACAAGCATATAACCTACGAAGATTACAACGATTTACGCAAAATTATATTGGGAAATATCCTCTTTTAGTGTTTCTATGTTGGAAATCGCTAAGTGACCAATAAAAATGCATGAATATCAGAATAATGTTACAACATTTTAAGTAAAATGAAGGTGAAGTGTTGAATAACCATTCTCTTTACTTACAAAATAATATGAGCTGCCAGCAGACTCAACAACGATTTGTGAAGCAGATTCACGTTGAACCATTTTGGAAGAGATGTTATTACTTGATGGAGTTTTGATTGGCGAAGCAGGTGTGAGTTTGGATCGGCCACGAACTTTCCCACTTTTAAGTGATGCAGAACTTTTTGTACTACTGGTATGAGATGATGACTTGGTGACTGGACGATATAAAGACTTTTTGCTATACAAACCAGTATGTTTTGTTCGTGGTTGGGTTTTCAAAGGAGATACAGTAGAATTAAGAGAGGGAGCTAAAGAATTTGTAGGAGGATTAGATATATACAAATTTTCGCTGTTAGATGGACGAAGGGATTTCTGGTTATTAACTGAGTCATTTGAACATGAAGCTGTAATTGACAACATAGGGGATTTTTCTTCATTTTTAGTATCACTATCATCATCTGTAAAGACGGAATCCACTGTAGCACGTGGTCTCTTAACAATTGATTCAGTTTCTGGTGAATGAACTGCATAAGACTGGATCAATGTCCTTCGCTTGCCTAGAGGTAAATGAGAATCCTGATCAGTAAGTCTTCTTTTTTTTCTGTCACCGAGATGTGAAGCTAATGAAAAAATATAAGACGAAACTAAATGGCCACTCAGAGATTATACTTCACACTTCCAGCTACATTGACGAAAAATTCGTAGCAATAAAATGTCTGGAATATTTGTATGGTCATAACAGAAAATTCCATACTTTGTTAAGCATGCCGTTAGATATAGATGGTTTATTTGCACAATTATTTAGTGAAAAAGTAATGGGTCAGTGATTGATATATATTACTTTTAAGCATTAAGGTGTTATTCAAGGAGTATAATACAGTGAAATAAATTTGGAAAAAGAAAAATAGGATATGAAGTATTCAGAAGATTAGAATTTGGGAGAACACAAAGAGTGGATGCACCTGCTCCATTGCAAACGATTTTGAGCAATATCATTCAGGGTCTCTAAACATCGGTTGCTATCATCTCGCGCATCCCAACCACGTAGACTACACCTATAAACATGGCTCAGTCCACTTGACAGTGACTTCATGGATTTGTGCCATGTCTTGTTCTAAACGTCTGCTTTCTTACAACCTACTCTTACACAATAAAACATCGCTCGTCGGAGAACCCAATGGTTGGGTATACTTAACACATGTATCAGACATCTCAACTGATGAAGTTTCATTACGTCATCAATTGATTTGCCATCCTTACCTAGTACCCGTTTCCCAACAACCGTATTACTTACTCGGTGGTCCCAGGATATACGAGCAATGTTTCGAAGACACCTATGATCAAATACTGGTAACCTACGAATATCCTCTACTCTTACCGACCATGTTTCACTACCATTAAGTAGGACGGAACGATCAGCTGAGCAGTAAACCATTCCTCCTTTGGTAAGTCAATAGATATCTCGCCTACTCCATAAATGACGCAAGTTGGCAAAAGCTAGTCGAGCCTTCTGAATCCGTGCTCAGATTTCGTCACATACCAGACCACAAAAGCTGATGAGACTCCCAAGATAAGTGAAGCGGTCGACACGCTCAACTACTTCACTCCCTATCATTAGTTCGAGTGTCGATGCAACACATTCCTGAAGCAACATTTTGCATTTCGAGGGGGAGAATAGCATCCCGAACATGCTTGCATTGTTGCTTACGGTGGTCAGAAGACTCTGCATTTTGTCAGCGTCTTTGCCAAATAAAACTATGCCATCAGCATATTCTAAGTCAATAAGTGAATCTCCCGGTAAAAGTTCAACCCTTGGAAATTCAGATGAGGAAAGTGTTATCTCTAAAAGTGCGTCGACGACTAAGTTAAACAAGAATGGAGAGAGTGGACAGCCCTGATGAACACCACTTGAGGTAATCAATTCTGATGACAGTTCGCCATAAGCTCTCACTCGACCAGTTGTGATCGAGTAGAGAGCCTTTACATGGTTAGTGTACTTATTTGGTACTCCTTTCAGTGACAAACACTGCCATCCAACCTCACGATCAACAGAGTCGAATGCTGCCTTAAGGTCGAGAAATACTACCATTGTGGGGCGTCTGAATGTGTGTCTATGTTCTAGGACCTGACGTAGTGTGAATATTTGGTCTATACAGTCACGCCCAGGTCGAAAACCAGCCTGGATTTCTCTAGTCTGTTCTTCACAAGCTTTGGTTAGGCGTCGAAGTATTATTGAAGCTAATATTTTAGACACTATATTAGTCAAACTGAGTAATAAAATGTATTTAGTTGGTCTTTCAATCGTTCTTACTGGCAGTTAGTTTAGGAATGGGATAACTCAATGTGGAATATTGAACGTTATCATACATATCGGCTGAGTTTGTGGAATTAAGCGTAGACGAATTTACAATAGAAAGTAACACAGCAAACAATAACCATGAGAACAATTAATAAACCAAAGATAATTTTTGGATCACGCATCATAGTATTCCACTACCAAATATCACTTATCAAATAACATGAGGATTTCCATGAGTCACTGGCAATCTCTGATTTTCTAATCTTTCTCCACTGACACTTTAAAGTGTAAAATGACAAACGATGTAATTTTTCATGTGAGTGTATCTTTAGCACAACAAAATACTTCTAGTGTATGTGAGTACAAAATCAATAAGGCTTACTTGATTTTGAATTGTCACAATGTAAAGACTGTTCTGTTGAAACTGGAATTGACTGAGATGATAGTGAGAGAGACATTTTTTGTTCCGAAACTGAAGAAAATAGTGGAAGAAGAGGTGGAAGGTGACAATGAGTAGCGGTAGGATTAGGACCATTTGACATAGTTGTGCCTGGTGAAACTATGTGCTTCAGAGGCAAAATATTGTCTGATTTCTTTATACTGCTTGTTAGGGACGGAGGTGGCAACTGAGAATGATGAACTAAGTGTCTTTGAGTGGTAGGTTTACTCGTTAGGAAACCACCATGACCTGGTCGAGGTGGCAAGCGTTCCAGAGAAGGAGGCGGTGGCAAACTCGCAGATCCCGTAGGACTAATATGAGGATGAACAACTACTTCTTCTTCACTACTTGAAAGACTTCCTGTAATGGTTGAACTCGTATTTGATGCATTTGAATCGCTACCTTGTGAAGCAGTGCGGCCTCTATATTTTAGTCTATCGCGAGAGATAGTCAATTGTAAAGGAGGTGGTGGGGTTATTAAAGAAATTGAATGCTTCTTGTCAACAACTGAAGTGGGATTTTCTGAATAATTTGTCATATTTTGACTAACCGACTGAGAATGTGTAGTTGCAGTAGTCTGTGGCTGAGATGCTGCAATAGAACCATTCCCGAGGCGAATAACACTAAATAAAAGGAAAAAACAAACAGAAAAACTACAAAATTACATTCAAAAATTTGAAAATATTTCTAGAAATTTGAAGTGTATTATGTGGAAAATAAGAAGAAACTACAAATTTGATTGTAGATCTATGAATTGTTAAGATTTTCAGCTGATAACAATATGGTATATCGATTAAAAGATAATCAAAACTAATTGGTGTTTTTCTTAAATTTTTAAGGTAACTTATTTGCGAAATATAAGGCCATGTACCCGGCATCGGGGCACCAGTGAAAATGAAGTAACAACGACAGAAGACGAAATTTAATTTTCGTTTATCTTGTATAGAAGATATTTGATATTAACAAGGTGTATGATAATGGCTCTTCATATGTATCGACTACTGAAATATCTTAACCAAGAATAATATTCTTAGACCCACTTAGACAAAACGAGTATCGAATAACCGATATTCTTAGCATCATAGGAACAGGTAAGCTGATAAATGCACATTAAAGCGCCGAGATAAATTAACTTATACATTAGGTCATTGGTAAACATAGGTCTACTAAAGACTACTAATACTAACTTTTTAAATTTCATTCACAGTTCTCTTAGCATTTTGAAGACAGCAAAAGCAAAGACTCTAGGAAACTAGCATGAATTTATTTTATTTCGTTTGGTTCTTCTCAGCTGCTTACAACCCATGATATTTAAAACCATAATTACAAGATGAGTTTAAATTACTTACATGAAAGAGTTAAGTTGGAAGTTATATTGAAGATATATTAGTATAGTACAGCAAGGGTGTAAATAAATTGAGCAGACTGAATATTGTAAATATATACCTCATGTAAAAGAAGGTTCTACAACATTGATTGTGACAACAGTTCAAAGGACCAGAAACAAGTGATTACATAATGAGTAAACGCTGGTAGGAATAAAATGTTTAAAGCTCAGTTAATAAAATAAGATTACTAATCTGGAAGATAGTTGAAATAAAAACTCAATGGTGTAATAAATGGAAGAAAGAGAAAAGTTTAAGATGCAGCAAAGGAAAATTTGTCACCAAGGCAAGGAAAGATTAATAACCATCTCTTTTTGAACATATATGTGAAGTTTTTGACTCCTGATAGCGACGACTAGAGTTTGGTTGTTTATTAACCACCTTGAAAGATTGCAAGGTATCGACTTAATTTCCTGCATCTAAAAGATGTTTGGTAATCGCACTGTTGTTCTTTCTATTGTTCGAAGGCTTTTTGGAAAATGCTTAGAATATCTAGGATAAGCCCTCTTTTCTGTTCGTCCAATGTAGCTGCTTTGGCAGGTGCACGTAAATTTACAAACAAATGGCGGTTATATGAAAAGAATGCTTGTAGGCCTGTGATTAGGTTATTGAACATGTTTTATACAGAATTAATAGTTTGGCTGCCGGTTAGTGCGGTGTTAAGCCTTCTGCTGATTGTGTTTGCCACGTCATCACCTTTAAAGTTGAAATTTATAATTATTGGTTTTTTATTGACTGTAGTCACTTCCTTCTTGTTTTCACCAGTGCTTTCTTGTAAATAATTGGACAAGAACTATTGAAATTCAAGTAAAGGCCATTCCAAGTAGTTTTCTCGATAAAGCGAACGTTGAACTGTCCCGTCTCTCCTGCGTCTTATGGCAATATCAAGATTGTGGAACATGTCATTCTGTTCTTGTTCCATAGTAAAATGTAAGTTAGGATGAACATTGTTAAAGAGTTTTAACAGGTGGACAACATATTTATTTGAACACAAACATTGGTACTAAGGGGTACCAAACACATGCGTCACACAATAACAATGAAGCTGTGAAGAGATAGAGAATGTAAAGTGTGTATAGTAAGAGAACAACAACGAACAGAAATTAGTGTATGAGAGTGAAATAATAATAATAACAGTGGGAGAAACAGTTCAGTTAGCAAAAATACAACCAGAAAGAATTCTTTCAATTAAAGAAGTCACGTTCATTTTTTATGAAGAAAGTAAAAAATTTACAGCAGGGTCGCTACTGGCTTCTATTCTGAGCCATTCCTGATAACGTCTCAATCCACTGCGTTGCATCATCTCTAGGACACCAAGCAGAGAGTTGTGAAGGACCAACCAAAAACCAGTCCTATACAGCTTTCTTTCATACCACGACACCATATCATATACTAACCATCTCTCCGCTCTTTCCAACCGGTCCCGGCGTCGGCAAGTAATGCACGGTGTGGAATCCTGTGGGACGACATTCGTAAGACATGTCCAAGCCACTGAAGCCAATGTTCCAAGATAATGACGCTATTTAAATTTTCGTCGCTGTCCTCAAACACGCGTTGCCGAACCTCTTCATCACTAACACGGCCTGTCACTGGATGTCAGTAATCTTTCAGAGACAGCGACGATCAAACACAGAGTCGTCTAGCATATGCATAAAGCAAGACTGCTCTCACTGACACGTAGACTCGACCTTTTGCAGCTTCACGAAGGCGCCAAAGATGGACCAGATTGGCATAAACCGCAATAGCTTTCACTATACGTGAATTCATCTCATCACTCATGCCACCGCCAGCACCCAAGCAGCTATTTATATACATGAACTCCTCGACTACTTCTATCCGCTCACTACCCAAGGTGAGTTTAAGATCAGGGGCCTGTCAGTCTTGTAAAAGTACTTTCCACTTCGAAAGTGTGAAGCACATACCATACCTATGGACACTTATTACCAACTGATTAAATGCAGATTGCATGACTTAGGTTTAATCGCACAGTAAGACAATATCATCTGCATACTCAAGGTCCAAAAGTCTTTCTCCATGCAACAGATTCACACCACCATTACCTACATCCATCAGAGCTGTTTCCAGAATGTCATCCATGGCAAAGTTGAAGAGTAATGATGAGATTGGGCAACCCTGTCTAACCTCAGTGCTTGAATGGAACAATGGAGAGGATGGTTGTGTGCCCTTATTGTCTGTGGTGTTTGTGTGAAGTGTTTCAGGATGTTAAGAAACGTCTCAGACACACCCTTGCTGATTTATGTGCTACACCTATTCCAAATGGATTTATTAATCGCGATGTAAGTTCTGATATTTCCTTTACATATAAAATATAGGATGATCCGTTTTTGGATTCCGTTTCTGTTGATGAGTTGGGTTGATACTTTTTGTGAAGTTGCGTGGGTAGACATTCTTTATAAGAATAGTCATTAGATATTTTCTTTATTTTTCCGCGCTGCAGTGTGTTGAGAGAAAACTGTAAGCTTAAAGGATCCATATAAATTGAAAAATGTGGAGTAATTTTGATAAGTATCCGACAAACAAAGAGTTTTTAGGATATTTAAAAATAGGATTAATGACTTAAAACGCACTTATTTATATAGTTGTAAAAGTAAAGAAGCATCAGATTAGGTGGAGTGTTAGAAGACTGCACAAAAAATAAAGTTTAAATTTATATTAGAAGTGGTTACTAGAACTGACATTATATAGTATCATGTCCTTATGTAGATTGAATTAGACAGGTAGACACTACTGAAAAAATAGAAATAATGAAAAACTCCCAAATTAATATAATAAATAGATGCGATGGCATAAATTAGGCTATGAACTACGCTGAGAATAGAAGTCAGGGATATTATCTAAATATGTAAATCATGAAATATGAACATCGATTTAAAGTTGTGATTAAAAAATTAGATATCAAATCAATTAGATGTTAAAATGGTGGGTAAACGACGCCTTAAAGGATCGTCTAGAAACGCATGCAAAATTATTTGAGGAATGCATGAGATAAAAATTTCAACAAACTCAATTTGCTACCTAAGCATCTTGAGGAACGTAAAAAACCCCATTTTTAAACATTGAACACAAAACTGTTTTTTCATAGTCTGCCCAGCAATATGATCACTAAATCTTACTGCTCAATAATGGATTCTAATAACACCTTGATATTGAGTTAGATAGTAATTGTTTTTGGATGAGACTAATGGATTTGTAAGCTGACAAGTGTGTGAATAAGCTCTTCAAGCATGGAACAATGACTGAATTTTATTGATCACTGGCAAAAGAGACATCTCATAATCTAGAAACATTTGAAGACAAAATGTTTGATCTTTTGTTTTACATCACATTTGTAAACCGGAGATTTCATGCATAAACTGCAGTAATTAAAAATGTAAAATGAATCCTGACTACAATTAGTAGATTAATGGTGGAGTAAACTACACTTTATCCGCAATAATTTCCAAGCAAATTACACACATTAGAATACATGTTCGTAATGAACAGATATTACATAGATTAATATTGATTTATGAACTTACAGCTTTGGTGTTTTTTCTGTAAATGCTGTTGACTGAGACAATGATACAGAATGGCTACTTGGTCTAATAAAATAATTATGAAAGAGAAGAATATACATATAAAAAAGTTGTTTAGGATCACATTTCAATATTGTAACTGAATAAAATGCAGAAATTCACTTTTTTTATATTAGTGAAAATTTCTAATTTAGCTCCTTATTTTGAGATAACTCAAATAATAAATTCCATTAGTCTTAAAAATGTAAAAAGATGACATATCGATCTAATATTTTCTGAATAGAAAAAAAATTGAATCCTGTGGTAAGGGAGTATATTTCATGTTGTGATTTTAATGTTATTCCATACGTTTTACGAATTTATTATTATTACGGTATAGACTTCTGAAAAATGTCGCTGTGAAGTCTTCCTACTAAGCTGATTTAATCGAGGCTAACTCACTGGGTAACTCATTGATTTTATTATATAATTACTTCATTTTGGATGGAGCTTCCAAATTTAAGGGCTGCTGTAAATTGGAAAGTCAGAAAAAACAATCTAAAATCACTATTGAATGAAGAAACAACAGCATTGTTTGATTTAGATGACCGGAATTCCTAACTAAACTATCCATAAACTGTATTTTATTCAGTACCACGGTTATAAGTTTCCAGCGATGTTATTCTAGAATAAACAGACAAAACTTTCAGGTGAACTTATCTGAAAAGTGTGACCAGACACAAAAGTAAATTCTTTAGGATCTATGCCTCAGTAGATGCGATACGATCTAAGCAATTACTCAATACCCCCATATGAAAAAATGGGGAATATAGGTAGTTTCCATATCTTCAACACTATATAAATCTTCCGTGCAGAACAGTAGCCAGATTGGTTACTTCCAAGTTCTTATTAACAACAACAACAACACTGTCCAGCCCACTCAATATCCTCCCACCTTGAAACCTATAATAATAATTTAAGTGTGAGACATTACTATTAGTCTCGTGGTACAAGGCTGATGGTTAAATTTTTTTAGCTACTAACATTAAATACTAATAAGAAGACTCTATGAAGTATCTCACTAGCTAGAACTCTGTTATCATGGTTGTTTTTTTATGAAAACACATGTAAGCACTGAAGTATTTTTTCACTTAACCTGCCCTGGATAATGTGATGTAGCGGCACAACTTAATGAATCTCTGACGATTTAACGGTAGGTCCTTATACACTTGTAAGTATGACAACAGAAAGAAGGATTTTTGATCGCAGTTAATAGTAGTATGTACGATACTCGGGTAATTTTACACTATAGAACTAACCATAAGGTAACTTAAGAAACATAATCGTTAGAAGTTTACTACAAACCTGGAAAAAAACATGTACTTGACATATCGCATAAAGATAGGATACGACATTGTGAAACGGAGTTTTCTCAACAGCAGGTTAGCTTTTATCTCATGCCAATCGTAACATGCAATTTTTCTTATAAAGATTCCTTTTAATATTAATTTAATTATCAGTCGTAGAAACATTGTACCGAAAATAATAAAGTCCATTACCTGTCCTTATCCACTAAGTTCAAAACACTATTTTCATTCGGTTCCCTTTTGAATATCTGGGTTGAATTTTGTGACTGTATGTAATGAGTTGTTGAATTGTCTTCATCCCCTGAAGTTGACTCCGATGAAGATAAGGAAGAAGATGATGAAGGGGAAAGAGATGAAGCAAGATGTTCTTCGTTTAATGTCCCGCCACCTAGTTTAATTGTAATACGCAATCCTCCATTTTTATCGCTGATTTGCTTAGATGACAAAGGCTGTGAGTTTGTAAAGAAGCAACTGCTGGAAGTCGACACCAATTCCGACTGTCTGGACTAAAAAGAAAATAGTATTTATATCAGAACTTTACAGTTTCCGGCCCAAACTAGTATATAAACTAGTTTATAAATGTCTAGAAATTAATTGTCATTGTACGAAGCAGTTAATTTATAATGAGCAAAACAGTGATAAATCATTTCAAGTTTTAAAATCAACATAAATCTATGATAGTCAAACTAATACGTAAATTAAACTAGTCGTGGCTGAGCTCGCTAACTTGATAATCCAATCACAATGTCAAAAACCAATAACCCTTTAAGATGCTAAAATCTGTTGAGTTATTATTAATCATCACCATTACAACAGAGACTAGAATAGTATTGATCAATAGTGCTTTGGATTTAAGATAACTTAATTAGAGCAGATTAATAAAAGAATAAAGTAAATATGGTATGATATTTATTCAGTTTTTCGAATACATCTTGTCTATCAAGTAAGAATTACGATCAATCTTGAAAACTTGTAATTTGATTGATTCCACGAATGAACTCTTAAAAATATCATATCAATATATGAATAGCAGAATTTACAGATTACTGATAACACATAATAATAAAATAAACTTACAGGCATCAAGGTAGGAGGAAATGCGGCAATGTGATCACTTTCAGCAGATGTTGAAAACAAAGAGGAAGAACATCGCTTTTGATCAGCCGATTTACTAGATAAAGGAAGGAGAGGTGGTGGTCCAACTCCTAACGTATCCACTGGTGGAGAGGCAGAATGAGTAGTATGTATTTTATTATTGCAAGAAGTGACTGGAGAGGTTTTTTTGGAATCTGAAAAATCCACAGGTGATAGATTTGTACTGACAGTTTTCTGAATACAGGAGCTTGAAAATAAGGACTTATTTACACCTTGAGAAATGTCATCTCCGAAATTATCACAGCCTTTTACGTCATTCATTTCTGACTTTAAAAGCAGTGATTCTTCAGGTGAAGATTTTGAAGTAGAAGAAGAGGAGAGGGAGGAATCAAGGGATGATGGGGAAGAAGGTAGTGATCTTAATGTGATTGATGCATGCTGTTGCAGTTTACCAAAGCTTTCTTTGCTAAATACCGGATTCTCTGACTTCAAAAAGTGATTATTGGGAACTACATTAAAGGTTGTAGATGAAGTGTCCTTCACAGAATTATTATCAGTACAGAGAATTCTAAGAAGTTCTGCTCTTTCACTAAATGTCATGGGTTCAGTTGTATCTGATGCTGGGGAGCAGATAGTTTCCATACTTACATCGGAAGAAAACTGTGTGGTGATAGGTTGATTTTTTATAGAATCGTGAAAAGCATCTGCATCTAGCCCTGTACGCCTTCCGGTTTTATTTACTGATCGAGTCGGTCGAGAACTTTTGAAAGAGTTGTCTGGAACGACTGCAACAGTTTGGTGATCATTTACGTTATTTTCAACCTTAGGTATACGTTCGAGACTTTGAACAGGCTGGAAAGAACGATTCTGTGACTTAATGTGAAGCTGAAAAAGAGCAAGAGACGAAAATAGTTTAGCTAGGAAATAAGTCCATCGGTCAAATATAAACAGTTAATCAGCCATCTACAACGTAAGACCAGGCACATAAATGAATCGGTTCAAGATGCAATACTCCATTAGCACAACAAAATGAACACCAAATTCACAGAAGCAGTTACTTCAATGGCAGTAATATATAAAAAAAGATTGCATATAAGGAAATGATGCAAGGAGAAAGAATTAGTTCGTAGAAAGAAAGATATAAAGTAATTTTAGTCTCATAGTTTAAGGGAAAACAAAGAGTGTATACACTTACGCCATTGTGATCGATTCTGAGCCATGTCACCCAGTCTCCAACCATTGGTTACGATAGTCACGCGGACCCCAACCAAGTAGTCTGCATCCATCAACATAGCTCAGATCAGAAGTTAGTGACTTCAAGGACTGATCACACGTTTTCGTTTGGTCGCTCATAACTTTCTTCCAACTGTCTCCAACACTAGTCAGCATTACGTGTCATAGTAATCGGTGATCAGGCATGTGTAATACGTGGCCCAACCATCTAAGTCGTTGATGATTCACAACCTCATCAACTGATTTACCATCAAACCCTAATGCCCTGCGTCTAACCTCACTATTACGTACCCAGTAATCCCAGCAGATGCAAATAATATTTCTAAGACATCTGTGATCAAATACTATTAATTTACGAGTATCTACTTTTAATGGTCACGTTTCGCAGCCGTAAAGTAGAATATAACGAACTGCCGCGCAGTATACTCGTTCCTTAAATGATAGACGGATATCTCTCCTTTGCCATAGGTGACGTAAGTTGGTAAAAATCAAACGAGTTTGTTGAATCCGTGCAAAGGTTTCGTCAGACACCAATCCATTAGGACTGATCAGACTTCCAAGTTGTCGATGCGTTCGACTACTTCACATCGTATCCTTAGTTCAGGTGTTGACACAGACCAGTCCTGAAGCAACAAGTTGCATTTAGAGGGGAGAAGCGCATTCCAAACATTCTGGCATTGTTGCTCAGTGCTACCAAAAGACTACATTTTATCAGCGTCTTCACCAGACAGGACTATGTCATCTGCGTATTCTAAGTCGATAAGTGGACCTCCTGGAAGGTGATCAATGCCCGAGAATTCAGTTGACGAGAACGTTATTTCCATCAGTAGGTCTATAATGAAGTTGAACAAAAATAGCGATAGTGAACAGCCTTGTCGAACACAACTTGAGGTTGCAAAAGCAGATGACAGTTCGGCAAAGCTCTGATTCGACTGGTAGTGTCCGAGTAAAGAGCCTTTACAAGGTTTATGTATTTGTGAGGTAAACCTTTCAATGACAGATAGTGCCACAGAACCTCTCGGTTTGCAGAGTCAAATACTGCTTTCAAGTCAAGAAAAGTTATCATTATCGGACGCCGATAAGCGTGTTCTAAAACCTGACGAATAGTGAATATGTAGTCGATCCAGAAGCCACAGAACTGTGAACTATGTATTCGTCTAGAATTATCAATAGCGTTATTATTTTTAGTTTTTCCTTAGTTTCACACTATGTTTATGAGAAGTTAAGTAGTTAATAAACAAGAATCAGTTTTATGACTTGAATGCTAGTGACCACTTACGTAAATCAACACATACCTATGCGGTTCCAGACAAGCTGCTTAGATTTATATCAATAACCGATCCCATAAATATTGGGTTCACATACTACTATAATTTTTCGCATTACTTAAGCAGTTGAAAATTGATTAAAAAGACTAAATAGTGACTCTCGGATAAGATTCATTCAATAAACTGGTGTACAACTTACTGGATCTGAACACTTCCGCAAAGGATTTTGAAATAAACTATTAAATGTCGAAACTCTACACTTATCTCTTCTTCGTCCACGAGCTCTCCGCCGAAATGGGTGTGATTTAAGTCGTACACTATTTTGAGTTCCTGATGAAGTACTTCTTTCCGGAATGTTCAAAACCTTTAATTCAGATAGTTCAACACCAACAGATTTCATACGATTCTCCAGTCGTTTCGGTGAAGTAACTAAACTAGATGATAAGACACCAGAAGATGTTATCAGGCAATCACTATTTACAGGATTCCGTAATGGAGGAGTACATGGTGAATCATGATCGGGATAATCTTTTCCATTCCATACAGTTTGTTTTTCATCTCCTGGATCTACTTTAGGTGCCATGGAACTATCATCAGCTGCTTTCTCTGGCAAGGTTACGGATGTTTCTTCCAAAGATTTAGGCGAATCTGAAAAAAAAAACAGCAATGGCAAGATCAAACAATTGTACACAACCCAAATGGTATTTGAGGTGATACTGGAAGGTTTATCGAACGGCTACCAAGCTTGTAGATGTTCTGAATGATTTTCAACATTGCTGGTTGCCATACAAAAAATGCCTGAGATATTCTATGCAATTTCCATAAAGCATAACACTAAACCATAAAAAACAATGGTTACTTGTTAAAATAAATCTCAATTATAAGGTGAATGGCGAGTATCAATGGATATATTATTCAACATGGTGAGTATGTGGTAGTCTATTATGTACAAGTTTAAATTCCTCCGGTAAATCTTCCTTGTAATGTCTAACGTTTTTAAATTTACCATCTCAGTCATCGTAGTTCATTAATTTTTTTTATCGTAATGGCAAGAAGAATTTAAATGTATCGACGGACAGTAGATATATATTCATATAAAATATTTACTTATGGAAATGATAAATCTATACGAGTATTGCTTGATACTTCTGAATTAGTCGAGGACTGGTGAAAGAGCAAAAATTATCTTCATCACGTCCATCTATGATCAGAATTACTTTCATCTTATCTTTTACTTACTGAGCACTCATACAGTGTTCGGAAAATATTCTGAACATTTTTCTATAAACTCTAGGAGAGACTATAAGTGGAGATTGTAACTCAGTTCTCAATCACTTCAATTCTTGTTTAGTTCAAACAATGCACATAAAGAAATTCCAAGTATATACCAGCTGCAATAAAATACGTTTACAACCTAAACACGTAAATTACAAATCACATCAGAATATTGGTTATGTCACTGATGAACTTTCAGTTGGTGTAAATCACCGAAGTGTTAAGAACTTACAATCGGATCATAGGACGAAACGGATAATTTATATTTATGATTGTCAAGGTGAATGAGGCTGCCGAGCGGAAGGCTAACCTGGTATGGTTCAGCATCCAAAATATTAGTGCACATCAATCCATTTTTTATCCAGAACAAAATCTTTCACGTACACTTAATCTCTGTACTGCTGAATAACTGTTTTGTTTCTAAGTGACGATTCGAAGAGCTGTATTGTTTTTCTAAGTTCTGTTGTTGGCCTCATCATATGAAAAACTCATTGGGATAAATTCTGCTCTGAAAAACATGTGCATCAAGAAACTCAAACCACCACTTAAAATCTTACAATCAATTCAGTTAAATGAATACTTACTTATTGTATTCGATAATGTAGAAATATCCGAATCTAGCGGAGAAAGTTCTGTGTTGATAATATCTTCTTTGAAACTGGAATGCCCACTTGTCGGATTCAGTGGTTTTTCCATTGAATTAGTATTATCTGAATGTTGCTCTATGATAGGAGAATTTGATCTACTTGATTTTGAAACACGTTGCCTTGATAATTTACTTGCTCGACCCCGACCAAACTTAGAACACCTGTTTGCTCGCCGTCCAGTAGTCAGTCTCGGAATTTTCGGAGCTGAGGAATAACTAGAGAGGAGTAAAGAAAAACACATCCACGTTGAACACTAGTGAGTCAGTTTGTAGTTTTGGAAAAAATACACAGAATATACAACTTATTGAAAATAAAAGACAATGACTTCAAACAACAGTAACATCATTTGATTTTAGTAACGATAACACTAATGGAAATGGTAACAAGCCTAATCTCATCTTACATTAGTGGATAAAATACAGTAAAATATTGTTAGAAAAGTTAGAGAAAATTATATTAAAATCAAGATAACTTGTAAAAAGTAGTAGACTATTGCTTGGAAACTAAATATTATTAGGATGAATGAAAACCGAATGTTTCATCCCGTAAGTAGTAATAAATTAAACTCTGAAATTGCGTTAGTAAAATTCAAAAACTAGACTTTAAAAAACGGATAAAATGTGATTCATCTAGTGGGTAGAAAATTTTTAAAAGTTAGTTCTGAAGTATGATTATATGCATACTTCTAGAGATTTAATACAACAGTTATAGTAGACAGCTTAGAACATTGGGGTTTTGTAAGACTTTACCTTACTAACTACTCAAGTTAGGTTGAATTGTTTTTAAAAAGTGGAAAGAATTATCTACACGAAAAGTGTATGAAGGACTGCACTTTATAATATAAATGAACATTTATCATTTCATTATTCAGTTCACCTGATTGAATTGTGAGTTGAAAAAAAGGTTATTATGAATTTTTAACAACTGGACTCACGCAAGTGTGGAAGCTTGCCGTTTATACCGTGAATCTGCCCCAATAGGCTGTTTAACAAACAACGGTGTACGTGATGAATTTGCTGCTCGTCTAATATGTGTCCAAGATGGTGTGGAACTAGGATCAAAACGACTTGGAGTATAGACGATTCGTTTCGGTTGCTGCGTCGACGGAGTAGCCTAAAAACAAGTAGAAAAATGAAATAATAGTGTGACAACGGTTATTTAGGTTGATAAAGGTTTACTTTTTTTATTGGTTTTATAAGAATCCAATGAATGTTCCTGACAGATTGTTTTTAAGTGACGAGATATTTTTAAGCTGAATGAATGCTACGTGACGAACAAATAAGACCTAATTGTTTGATTGCCACCATAAATTAAATTAGTGTGAAATTCTTCCAAATACGTGTGACTGTCGTCCGACACTTCCTAATACTTTCTACAGAGGTTGAATACCCCCTTAACAAACAAAAACTCATGTACAATTATCACTAGCAACTGACTGCTGAACAATTTATAAATATCCAGTCCACTAAAACTTCGAATATAAAATGTCAAATTAGATAATCAAGTTAAAATGTAATGTGCAAGTCATGTGATGAAATTCGTTATTCGTGAATTGTTACGACTTTTGTGTGTATTACAAAGTTAACGAATATTCTCTAATACGCCTTCATCAGTGTTAATCAATGAATTGTTAATAACAACTTACTTTCTCTCTAAAGATCAAAATAAAGATATCATAACCGATATAATGCTGCGTATAACAAATCATTCAGAGGAAAATTTGGAATTTAGAATAGCTTCTGGTGTTCTAATAAAACGAACTGGAATAAGATTAAGTGTTTAAACACAGAAAATCATTATGATATGATGCAAACTGTTCGTTGAAAAGACGAATATTCAGTAAGTTATCGTAGATAAAATCTAGATCTTAGCAGCTTATTTGTTCTGAATCGCCAACTTACCTCTTCTTCATCAATTTTAGTCGATGTCATGCAGATTCATGAAACAAAGTTAATGAACTCTAAAATGTAAACCTAATGTATTCTAACTTCTTTCATAGATACGATGGAAAAATAAATAAACATGAGACGTAATCACTCGCTTCAGCACTATGATATTCATGACGTGAAGAAAATATGCATAAAATTTCGACTAATTTTATTACAGAAAGATTATTTAACCGCCATTATTTCTTAAGCTGTGTACGTGATACTATTAAATGACATAAAATTTCGAGCGCTAATGCACTCGACTCTTAACTGTTAGATAATTGATTCAAACCTTGCTCCACCTATTTTGGTTTGGTAAGTTGAGTAGCAATATCCCTAGCCCTAAACAATAAGTATATCTCTAAGACAATCACATAGACATATACTTCGTAATTGAATTACATTGTATTTAATACAAAGCTTAACGTCACAACCGAATATGACAGATATTAACTAGTCGTTCTATAGGGTTCATTCAATTAAAATTCTAAAAAATTTACAACTCATAAAAGTGGAATAGTATTTGATGTGAAAGTGAACTAATTCCAAAGTGTGAGTATTTTTAGTTGCGTCACGTCGACATGCTCCCATGTGTTATGAATGTGATACCTAAAGATGAATAATTTCAACAACAAACATGAATTCAAATGTATATGGTTAATATGTTAATAGTGAGCATTTATACACCAATATAAGTTTTAGTTGTCACATAATGAATAGAAAACTTTCGATTCCGTACATATAGATACCCATTATGTTCCTTATTACCTTTCTACGCTGCATAAATTAAAAATTGCTAGAAATCAATGTATATTAAAATTCAAAACTCCTATCAACGATCCTGTAAGAGTATTCCTATTTTTTGGACAAAGTTCATGTCAAGCAGTTTGAAAATAAACTATGGAAAATTGCATCTCAGCGAAATCAAAAATAAACGAGTAATCAACGTATAGAACAAATTGGCATACTATCTTGTCATAAGTGACGGGTTAACAACTCAATTAAAATAACGTGAAAAAATTCACAGAAATAAATTATGTATTGGAAGTCAACATTCCAAAATAATTGGAAGGTCGTCAATGAATGAGCAGTAACCTACTTGTAGAGCAGCTGCCCACTGTGCATCACTAGCACCACATTGTTTTGCAGGTGAGGGTGGAGACACATATGGATTTTTTGTATCCTCTGGTGTTGAGTCGTATGCAAGTTCTCTTTTTGAGATAGATGAAAAGTAATTATTTGTCGAACACACATAATTGTCCGGAATCGGTGACTCCGACAAAACATCAGAGGCTTTCCATGGAGGACAATGCTCCACCAAGCACTTAGTTAGAGGATCAACTGAAACACATGTCATACGATATGTAGATCTGTTGGCCCATTCAGGAAGTGTACGAGCAACAGTTGTTACAGCAGTACTGGTTGCACCAGTAAGACAATTGGAACTAGTAGATACCGTATTAGGTGAGGAAGGAGATAAGCAAGTATTGAAAGCAAATTCTTTGATGCTTGGTTCTGCCTGAGATGTTTGACTTCCTATGAAATATTCTGGAAGTATTTTTATTACTTACCAAAGTCCTCGCGATAATTTAGCGGCAAATGGCGAGGGATGAAGGGTGGCCGCTCTTTTAATTCAGGATGATCTTCAGGTGGGATATTTAAACATGATTTTCCGTAAACCGGCCCACATGTCATAGTAGGCGCTCGCGTAAAAAACTGACTGTTCTCTATGACAAACTTGGCAAAGCCTTGGGGCGTTTGACCCATCAAACGCAAAGCTAGAAGTCCATCTGCAACCTGTGCATAACCGTCTGGGAAAATATCAACGGAAAATATGGATACCTGAGGCCGTCAACGTATATACATTTCTAACTAAGGAGAGGAAATATGCTTCCACAACGCTAATTAACAATTCAAGTGAGGCTTCCGTGATTTGTTCGAAGCCAACTTGACCACAGAGCTGAGCAATTACCTGAATCATCGCACTTCTGAAGTCACTTGACATTGCAGAAGAAAAACTGAAATAAAAATTTAAAAATGTAGCGAGTTTTATGCACAATTAAAAAAATTTTGGTATAATTTTATGACTACTTAAGAAAAGGAAAAAGAATTTGAGTCGCCTAAAATAAATCAATTTTATCATTGCCCTATACAGGCTGAAACAAAAGATAATATTTGACTAGATAGTGTTGAGATTAAGAAGTGGATACAGTTACACATTTATTATTTATTTGAACACATAAATACTGGTACTGTTATGTTCTGATAAGCGTAATGAGTGGTAACTTTTGGGATCCATTTATGGACCAATACTAAACGTATATTTTTATCGTATAATTGTTAAGTAGCTAAACTATTCATATTCATATCCCTCTAATTATGAGCCTTATTTTGACCTACGAACTATTATTATACGATTTACCATTCTTAAATTATTCCGTCTATTAATCACTACCTTCCACATTCACATCCAGATGTTGTTTCCTATTTTATGGTACGATGCGGTCTGTTTGATTGGTAATATAAACCCCGTATGTTTGAAATAAATGATTCATATTGCACAGGCTGAGATTGGAATTCTGGACTCAACTGGCTGGGCTAGACGGAAAGCAGGACCAATCAGGACTCAAGACTGCTCGCACGTGTTTTATGCGTCATTGGTCCGATCGATAATTCACTGCTCTAATTGGCGGTATCGTGACGTTATCTATTAGCAGGGCACAGGCTACAAGTTATAACAGGTACAAAGGGGTACTGCATAGATATGTGTCACACAAGTCACTTGATTTGTGTGTGGGCTCTGATACTACCCGGATACCCAGACAAAAGCAGGTGGTTTTCTTAAGGAGCCACACCCGGAACCTTCGACATGAAGGACTGATCCACAAGGAAGTGGAGCAACGTACGGAGATGGAGTCCCGTGGTAGCCGGTGATCAACAATTTGTTCATACGCCATTTGTTCCTTCAGGATACTGGAGCCCATGTGCACCATTGGTTTTGAATCAGGGTAATCCAACTTCCATAAGTTCATCCTCCGTATCCACTGACACGGTTAAAGCGACGGACATTCGCTTTTCGTCTTCTCGATTTCGTAAACAACACCCCACCCACGAGAAGGCAGTGAGTAGGACTTCCTTGGCAGTGGTTGTATGCATGTGGTCACTTGAGAGCATTTCATTGAGTTGACTCTCCCCACTCTCGAGCGTACCAGGGCATTTGGAGGCCACACAATTCAAGGTGTGCTACACAAATACTCGAAGCCTACAAAATAAAATAGCGGAGCTCAAGACAGTGGGAATATAGAAAACCCGGATGACACTGATGTCTCAGAAAATGCTTAACGCTCAGTCAGTCACTAACAACGCAGAGCTTCGTACGTACGTACATCATTTCGAGTTGCTACACCATATTAGCACGGAGATGCAGTTGAAGAGGTAGTAAAGTATAAGCAGTAATCTGAAACTTTAGGGCTTCAAAATGTTATTCAAGGAGTATAATACAGTGAAATAAATTTGGAAAAAGAAAAATAGGATATGAAGTATTCAGAAGATTAGAATTTGGGAGAACACAAAGAGTGGATGCACCTGCTCCATTGCAAACGATTTTGAGCAATATCATTCAGGGTCTCTAAACATCGGTTGCTATCATCTCGCGCATCCCAACCACGTAGACTACACCTATAAACATGGCTCAGTCCACTTGACAGTGACTTCATGGATTTGTGCCATGTCTTGTTCTAAACGTCTGCTTTCTTACAACCTACTCTTACACAATAAAACATCGCTCGTCGGAGAACCCAATGGTTGGGTATACTTAACACATGTATCAGACATCTCAACTGATGAAGTTTCATTACGTCATCAATTGATTTGCCATCCTTACCTAGTACCCGTTTCCCAACAACCGTATTACTTACTCGGTGGTCCCAGGATATACGAGCAATGTTTCGAAGACACCTATGATCAAATACTGGTAACCTACGAATATCCTCTACTCTTACCGACCATGTTTCACTACCATTAAGTAGGACGGAACGATCAGCTGAGCAGTAAACCATTCCTCCTTTGGTAAGTCAATAGATATCTCGCCTACTCCATAAATGACGCAAGTTGGCAAAAGCTAGTCGAGCCTTCTGAATCCGTGCTCAGATTTCGTCACATACCAGACCACAAAAGCTGATGAGACTCCCAAGATAAGTGAAGCGGTCGACACGCTCAACTACTTCACTCCCTATCATTAGTTCGAGTGTCGATGCAACACATTCCTGAAGCAACATTTTGCATTTCGAGGGGGAGAATAGCATCCCGAACATGCTTGCATTGTTGCTTACGGTGGTCAGAAGACTCTGCATTTTGTCAGCGTCTTTGCCAAATAAAACTATGCCATCAGCATATTCTAAGTCAATAAGTGAATCTCCCGGTAAAAGTTCAACCCTTGGAAATTCAGATGAGGAAAGTGTTATCTCTAAAAGTGCGTCGACGACTAAGTTAAACAAGAATGGAGAGAGTGGACAGCCCTGATGAACACCACTTGAGGTAATCAATTCTGATGACAGTTCGCCATAAGCTCTCACTCGACCAGTTGTGATCGAGTAGAGAGCCTTTACATGGTTAGTGTACTTATTTGGTACTCCTTTCAGTGATAAACACTGCCATCCAACCTCACGATCAACAGAGTCGAATGCTGCCTTAAGGTCGAGAAATACTACCATTGTGGGGCGTCTGAATGTGTGTCTATGTTCTAGGACCTGACGTAGTGTGAATATTTGGTCTATACAGTCACGCCCAGGTCGAAAACCAGCCTGGATTTCTCTAGTCTGTTCTTCACAAGCTTTGGTTAGGCGTCGAAGTATTATTGAAGCTAATATTTTAGACACTATATTAGTCAAACTGATTCCTATGTGACTAAAACAAGAGGACTTTTGTCCTATCTTATAGACTGACACAATTAGTGATTGAGACAAGTTAGATGTGATTCTGTCTAGTTCACAAATTCTACCTAAGAACTCAGTTAATCGCGCTGCTAATACTGAACCACAATACTTAAAAATCTCAGGAGTAAAGCTGTCTAGGTCTGTTGCTCTCCCTCGGTTTCATTCAAATCCTTCTGACTAAGGAACTGATGACGTTGTTTACAAAGGTTTGGGAGCTAGAGAGTGTACCAACGTCATGGAATGAGTCGATAGTTGTCCTTATCTTTAAAAAGGGTTCACGTCGTTCCTGCAACAATTATCGGGGGATAAGTCTACTTCCGATTGCGTCTAAGCTATTGGCTTCCGTCATACTTCGTAGGTTGTTCGAAACCCGAGAAAGATTGACTCGCGAGGAGCAGGCTGGGTTTCGTTCTGGTCGAGGATATATTGATCATACCTTCACCCTCCACCAAATGTTAGAACACCACCATACTTATCAAAGGCCAACAATCGTAGTGTTTCTTGACATCAGGACTACCTTCGATTCGTTGGACAGGACTGTTCTCTGGGATTGTCTATTGAAGAAGGGTGTGCATGAGAAGTTTATTAACATCCTGAAAGCCCTATATACAAACACCTCAGGCAGAGTGAGGGCATACAACCACCTTTCTCCATTGTTCCATTCGAGCAGTGGAGTTCGGCACAGTTGCCCAATCTCACCATTCTTCTTCAACTTTGCCATCGACGACATTCTGGAAACAGCGCTGATGGATGTAAGTAATGACGGTGTGGATCTGTTGCCCGGAGAAAAACTTCTCGACATTGAGTATGCGGATGATATTGTCTTACTGTGCAATAATGCCCAAGGCATGCAATCCTCACTTAATCAGTTGGCAATCAGTGTCCGTAAGTATGGTATGTGCTTTGCACCTTCGAAGTGCAAAGTACTTCTACAAGACTGGCAGGATCTTAATCCTGTACTCACCCTGGATGGTGAGCAGATAGTAGTCGAGAAGTTCGTGTATCTGGGTAGCCGCATAAGTGCTGGTGGGGGTGTGAGTGATGACATCAATGCACGTATAGTGAAAGTCAGAGCTGCTTATGCCAATCTGGGCCATCTTTGGCGCCTTCGTGATGTTAGACTGGCTGTAAAAGGTCGGATCTACAACGCGTCGGTGAGAGCAGTATTACTCTATGCTTGTGAAACCTGGCCTCTTCGAGTTGAGGACGTTAGACGACTCTCTGTCTGATCGTCGTTGCCTCCCAAGGATTGCTAACATCCAGTGACAACAAGTCAGTAATGCAGAGGCTCTGTATCGTGTATTCGGGCAGAGACGATAATGCAATTGGTGTCACCATCTTGAAACACCGACTTCTGTGGCTTGGACATGTTCTACGAATGTCATCCCAGAGAATTCCACGTCGTGCATTATTTGCCAACTCTGGGACTGGTTGGAAAAAGCGGAGGTGGTCAGTATATCACATGGTGTCGTGGCATGAAAGAAAGCTGCAAGGGACTGGCTTGTGTCGGTCCTTCACGACTCCCTGGCTGTGGTTCGAGAGATGGTGCTACACAGTGGCTAGAGACGTTATCAGATATGGCTCAGAACAGAAGCCAGTGGCGATCCTGATGTAACCTTCTTTTACTTTCTTCGTAAAAAAGTGATTGTACCTTCTTTAACTGGAAGATTTCTTCTGATTGTACCTTTCCGTTCCCCCATCATGACTATGATTATTACTACACTCCCTTACACCAATCCTTTCGTTATTGTTCTCTTTTTTCTACGCTCCTTAACTGTTTTCTTTTTCCCTCTCTTTAAATTCTCATTGTTTTGTGTGGCGCATATATATTTGGCGCACTCTTGTACCAATATTTATGTGTTCAAATAAATAAATAATAAATCGAGTTGGTTCTTTATTTTGACATGGTGAGGCCAAATGAATGACGTTACTCAGATCCTATATGCGCGTCTCGGAGACGCAGCACACATCGATAGGGCGAGATTCTAAGGTCCTAGCTAAGAAAACCAGTTGTCCTATTTCGTATTATTGATTATTTATGTTAACACAGATATTGGCACAAGGAGGCACCAAATACATATGCG